ATGAGGCACAAAGACAATCAGATTCTTTCCTGGAGCCACACATCGGACTAAGCGAATCAAGCCAATTCTGATTTGGAGCAAGAGCACTGGCTTCACTACTAACTAGACGTGAGCCCAGTCTCCTTATTGGTGACACATGGGCTCTCTCCTGTCCCTCCCAGCTCCATGAGTGGAAAATTCAAAAGGTGGGAAGAAAAGGAAAGAGATTGGAATGAGACAGACCTGAACACCCATGTCCAGTCTGTCACTGGCCAGGCAGTATGTCCTCACTCAGTTTATTTTAACTTCCTTTGCCTTATTTTCCTCATCTGTGAAACGTGGGTATTAATTCATGCCTCACAGTAAAATCTAAAGATTTAATAAAATAATAAATGTAAAAGTGAGCCAGTACAGCGCCTGGATATAGTAGCAGCGCCTTTCTTCTTGCTGTGATTTTGGTCATGAGATTCAGCGGGGGATACTAGCTATCAAGCTACTTGGGTTTTTCTCTCTGCTCCCTGTGCCTACCCTTAAGGGTATGTTCTGGTGATAAGAGTCATATCCTAAAATAGTCAGCAAGAGGGAGAAATCAGTGGCTCAAGAGACCTGGAGGATGGGGTTCATTGATCCTACAACAGTTCTGGAGCAGCTCCTCTCTTCAGCGAGAAGGCAGCTCTTTGGTGGTTAAAGATCTGTAGAGTTGTCATGTGTAAGCCACTAACCACAGATCACTTTCTAGATGACTCAGACTCTCTGCTGAAAGAGCCTGCTTGTGACTGCTGCCCTTGAGAAGGCTCCCTCCTCAATGAAAGGGTGAGTTCAAGGCCTTTGGCTCAAAATACAACTGGACTGCATTAAATACCAGTTGCTTGCAAACTTCTTTCTAATTCCGGCCCTGGAGCTTCTCCGGTTTCACATAGGGACGCAGAAGTGCCCCAGCACACACTTAATACTCACTGTGCTGTGGGTGACCACACAGTGACCCGGGAGTGACGTGTGGGCAACCCCCTTGGAGCCAACGCAACAGCAACTTCGCCCACTGGAGGTCACGGCAGTTTCCTCAGCAGATACTCTGGACACTTGAATATTGTAATTTTATTGTGAAATTATCATTTTAAAAAATGTCCAAGTGGAAGCAATTAAACTTTGGGAAAGTCAAACAAATGTTGCTAGCAAAGAAACCCCAACCAGAAACCCAGCTTTGTTTGGCTTTAGATGTAAAATCTAGGCAAAATTCAGGGTGAGATCAGAGTCTCAAGTTCAGGGGCAGCATCAAAGAGGCAACAGAGTCAATGCTTTCGTTGGTAATTGAAAAAGACTATTTCTTGGAAAGAACTTTTGCGGATTGTATTATAGAGTTCCCAATGAAGAAAGGATGTGTCCTGTGAAAACTAAAGAGTTGGTATTTAGAAAGTCACTTCTAGACTTCTCTAATAACTTGTGAGAGAAAGGATGAATAATTACCGCAGAATGGGCTGCCAGGAGGTGGCCCTGACGTTATCACAGATAAGCACTCTCAACGGCATTGCCAACAGTGGGGAGGACAATAAGCAAACAAACCCAAAGAACTCGGATGGAAGTGAAATAAGAGTACGTCGGGGAGAGGAACTGTGAAATGAACGCATCATGGCTCAGAGGCACTGCCTTCGGAGATGGAATAGGTGTCCAGCCAAGGACACTTACTCCATTGTAACAAAACCGTAAGTTTTTGCTTCCTGATCTAATCCCCTTGGACCTAATCTAACCTAGTCTGAGGAGAGGTGTGCGTTCCTTGTTCTAGACATATCATCATTTAGACCAAGGTACATCGGCTTCTCTCAACCTAAAGGCAATAAACCAGTAGTCCTCAAACATCAGCAATCATCTGAGAGGCTTGTAAAATACAGATTCCCAGGCTCCAATTCAGCGAGTCGGGGTCCGTGGGTCTGGGATGGGGTCTGGACATCTGAATACTCATCAAGCCCATCAGGGTAATTCTGAAGCACGAGCTTGAGGGCCACACTCTGAGAAATTAAATGTCTGACCCCATGGCAGTCTGGAGTCCAGGCTCCCCTGGCAACTTCCTGACAACTTGGCTTTTTGTGAAGCTTGTCCAGAAAGAAAGTAGGTGCAGGCCTGATGACTCTAGTATCTTGCTCATCAGTTAGACATTCTCATTAGGGGTAAAGAGATTGACTTCTGACTTTACGTAGGGGCCTCGTTCACTTGGTGAACACACCCCGGATGTCTTAGCTCACTTTTCAAGAGTCTTTTTCCCTCTGTATTATCTAGTTTTGTGTAAAGTCCTCATGATAAAATATTTATGTGCCAGACGAATTAAATAATTAACTGTAAAAGGGGGAAAAATAAAAAACATAATGTTTGCACGTTCTTTGCTTGGGCACAATCTCCGAAAACAAAATATGAAATCCAGAGGCAATAAAAGAGTATGCTAGTAGGGTCGATGTCATAAAAGTTTAAAACTTGTATAGGATAAAAGACACTAGAATCTAAAAAGATTTAAGTGACAGGATGGAAGGAAATATTTGGTTTTTACGTAATATTCAAAAGTTTAGATAATTTATTGAGTTTCTATAAATCAATTAAAAATAAAACAACATGTGGTCCCAAAGACAAAATATTTGTGTATAATAATTGGGACGTACTTTTATAATAAAATTATTCATTGTTTATATGAAATTGAAATTACCTGGGTATCCTGTACTTTTTTTAAATCTAGCAACCCTTAAAGGATATGAACTTTCAATTTACAGCATGAGAAACACTGATGATCCAGAATCATTGGAAAGATGCTTACTATCATCATGCAAATTAAAAAAAAAAGAATAATCCTTTTTTGCTCATTAGATTGGAAAATATTAAGAAAATAATGTCCCTTGTTGACAATACAAGGAAAAATGCACTCAATACATTGTCTATGGAAATGCAAGCCCATAAAGACTTTCTGGAAAATCTTGGCAGCTGTCGTATAAGGACTAAAATTAAGGTCCAATATTATGTTCTACCTTAACATTTGGTAAAACTGGGAGGGTCTTGAACGGCCTAAACTGCAAGTTCCCCTCCTCAGTCTGACTCCACGGATCAAGTCCCCTAGCCAAATAATCCTCCTTATCCATGGGAGCAGGCACAGTTTCCTGAGTCTTGTGTGTCAGTCCCCAGCCAGCCCCTGGAATTAGTCAAACAAGCCAATTACATAATCCTATGGGAACCAGGAGGCACCCCGTCCTCTTGATACTTCAAAGCCTGCCTCCCACACCCCTGGTTGTTCACTCTGTTCCTGAAGGCAGCCCCCATGTGGCTTGCATGGCTAGGGTGTCCTCCTCTCCCAGGCTGTGAGTGTATGTGATTAATAAACTGTTATTGATAGCATCTGTCTAATGTCAGGTGTCAGTCCGTAATCCTATGGTGGGATCCATCCTTCACCAATTGGATGAAAAGGAGGTGATTAAAACAGAAGCAGCTTTCAAATTTTTACTTTTATTTATTTGTTTATTTTTTGGTGAGGAAGATTGGCCCTGAGCTAACATTTGTTGCCAAGTTTCCTCTTTGTGCTTGCGGAAATTAGCCCTGAGTTAACATCTGTGCCAATCTTCCTCTGTTTTCTATGAAGAACACCGCCACAGCATGGCTTGATGAGTGGTGTGTAAGTCCACGCCCGAGATCCAAACCCGAGAACCCCAGGTCACCGAAGTGGAGCTCATGAACTTAACCACTACGCCTTTGGGCTGGCCCCTCAACTTTTTAAATGTACCTACTTTTTAACCTGGAAATTTCATTTCCATGAATATATCCTATAAAAATATTCACAAATCCAAAAAGAGATGCATGCAGAAACAAGAATTTCCACTATGACATTGTTTTTAAGAGGGAAAAATTGACAATAACCTGAATATCCATCCATAAAGAAATGGTGAAATAAATCACTGTAAATGTAATGTGTGAAATACTACACAACAATTGAAAAGGTCTAGAAAGAATTCCAAGACTCGTTCCATCTAAGCGATGCATGTAATATAATCCCATCCAACTGATGTGATGTACTACACATCCACATCTATGCTCATATATAAGTCCATGCATGTAAAACACACGAGGAGGGAGAACCCCGAACGGATTAAAGGGGTGCCTCCTGCAGAGTGAGGGCGGGACAGGCAGAGGCTTTGCATTTTTAATGCTGTATAATTTTGTACTGTTTGAGTCTTTGACACTGAAAACGCATTCTAGTATTACTTATGTGATGTGATATCAATTTTAAAATAAGAAAAGTATGTCAAAGTATATCTAAAAGTCTCATGGACTAACACCTGGTGAATGTTTGTGGTAATGCAATGAAACTGAGCAATGAGATGACTACTTGGGAATATTCCAGCACACTCAGCCAAAGACATTCCGGGGCCTTTAATGCTACGTGTTGATCTAGCTCGTTACCCCTCCTTGGCTTCTCTCCAGAAGGATTCCTAAGCAAGAATGCCTCTTTCACATTTCCTGTGTGAGCCACGCAGTTGAGACTGATACCCAGGATAACACATTTTGCAAATCCTGTCACCTCTCTTCCTACCCTTATCTTTTATTTAACTTCATTGTCTAATGCATCATTTTGGGGGGGGGGGGGCAAAAAGCATATAAAGGGAATGAGAGTGAGGTCCGGTGAATGAGAGAAATAAAAACATAAGTACTGCTTGTCCTAGTGTGAACACACAGAAGACCCTTTAGCAACAGCTTCTGCTTGTTAACTGAAAAACTGAATTTTAACTAAAGAATTATACGTTCTCTCTTCTTTTTCTCCTCTAAAGCTAGTTGGCTAGTGAACGACAAGCAGTGTTAGTGAGCAATTATGCACACGATGCGGGTCCTAAGGGAAGTCACCAGAACTTGGACTGCATGACAGTGACCAAAGCCGAGCTCTGTTCTGCTAGGTCCAGTCCTGCTCAGCCTTCTCCATTGGCGCTGAGGACAGACTCCTATCCCCAGCCACACCCCAGATCCCTCATCCCCCTGGGGACGTGTCATTGACATCTCACCACGCTAATGCCATCATTGAGAAGGGCCTCCCCGAAGATCATCATGTAGAGCGGTTCATTCACACGCGCCTCCTCGAACACAGCCAGCACAGCCACTGGGTCCACGGCTGAGATCAGGCTGCCAAACAGCAGGTTCTGAAGCAGGTTGACATCGCTGAGGCCAAAGGCCTTGATCTGGCAGATGAGGTAGAGGGAGAGGCCAATGCCGAAGGCGTTGATCAGGGCCCCCAGGCCTGCCCACCACAGGATGGAGCCGATATTCTCAAAGAAGGGCCGAGTGGGCATAAAGTAACCACTCTCCAGGACGATGGGTGGAAGGAGATATAAGAAGTAGATGCTTGAATCCATGACTGGAGGTGATTTGTGATCGGTGCCAAAGATGATGGCACCCACCAGAGCTCCAACGATGATGAGGAGGCAGCTTTCTGGCATGAGGCCTGGCAGTCTGCGGTAAAGATGGAAGCCTGGGAAAAAGCAGAGATCCACATTTAGATGTTCACAGATAAAACAGCTGTCCACTAAGACACCAGGAGATGGGTGTACACGAGATCTTTCAAAGCTAAGTGGATGGGACCTTGGGCAAGCTGGCTGGCATCTCTGAGCCTCAGGACCCATCTGCAGCAGAAACTGGGGGTGCTGTGGGGGCCTGAAACAAGATAAAGTGTTTAACATGCCAGGTCCAGTGCAGGTTACAGAATGGTTCTCAGCCAGCTGTCCCCTCCCGCATCCTCCTTCCTGCTTTCTCATCTTTCAGGGATCCGAGAGGCACGTGACGGAAGAAGAGAGAAGAGGGTGGAACTCTTCTGACTCAAGCAAAACCCACCTTTAAAGCTCACACAGTAGATCACGGTCACTTAAAGCTCAGCTTGTTCCAAACTTACCTTATCTCATTTTCCTCTCCACCAAACAAATAGAGAAGAATTAAGAGCCCTTTATTTCATTTCCCTTATTTAGCCAACAACATTGCCATCTAGTTAGGCTCTTGAGAGGGAAATCAAGATGCATTCTCATGAACCCCCTACTCCATCACTTTCACCCCTTCTTGCAATCAGCTTCCTGTTTCATCACTTATGTCTCTCATTAGCTGCCCCTAAAGGCCATCCCCTCCTCTCCATTTCTACAGCCATTGCCTTTATTTAGGGTCTCCGCATTTCCCATCCTAATTACTGCACTGTCTTCCTGATCTCCTACCTCACCCTCAGTCCCGCAGTCCTTTCCACATCCTGCTGCCAGATGACTTTTCTACACCGCATGCATCTGCTTGTCTCATTCCCCACCTAAGACTCTGAAGGCTCACAGAGCATCTCAAAGATCCTACACTGAGGGTACTTGTCAAGTATCCCTGTGCCAAGACCACCCACTGGAAGTATTGTGAGGTGGAGGACCAAACATTTTCCACAATTTCAACTGCTGATAAAATCTTAGAAATAAAACAGTAACAAGTTAGAAGACAAAAACAATATAATGTATAATTATGTAATAGTGCATATTGAACACACCAACAAATACTATAAGAAATCAGAGCACAGAGGGTCACCCTGGGGCTCTCTCCTAGTCAATATTTCATACACCCTGCACTATCTTTATACATCCCGCAATCACACATTACAGTCAACCACAGCTTTTTCATTCTGCAGGTCCCTTTTTTATGTCTTCATATACTATTATTGCTGCCTAGATTATCCTTTCCTTCAACCTAATTTGGCCCAGCTCAATCTTTGAGGTTAAGATTTTTCGCAACCACTTCCCAAGGAAATAATATGTCTTTCTCCGAATTGTTATAACATTTTATCTGTAATTGTCTAACAACAATGATCCCTTTCTACCATGTTTTTGTGCATGACTTATCTCCCATACTAATCTCTAAACCCCTCAAACATGGGTGGAATGATATACATCTTTAAATCTCCAAAGCACTTAGCAAGGTGTCTTATCCTAATAGCTGGTCTATTTGCTGAAAGAATATGTAAGTTAATAAATGAGTGAGTGAATGGTTAAATGTTCATGAGAGAAGTTTTTACATGGGAAACAGAAGTTGAACAGGTTGTTGGAGAATGAGTAGGACTTACATAGTTGGATGACACAATGGAAGACATTTTAGGTGGGGAGAACTCTAAAAGAAAAAGAAGAGAGAGAGGATGGCCCAGACAGATATTTGACAATCACTGAGGAGGTCCACCTGCCTGGAGCAAGTTTTCAATTGGGAAGAGTATTGGAAGAAGAGTTGGAAGGTGATTTTGAGCCAAATAACAGGGGGTCTTGCATTCAGGGCTAAGGAATATAGGCTTTCTCCCACAGGCCATGGAGAGCCATTGAATGTCTCCTTAGGAATTTTTAGATTCAGCCATCCAAATAACAGGTCAGTTTTCCTGGTCACAGCTTTGAACTTCTCCATTCACATCAGCAGGCAGGTGAATACAACGGAGCATCATTAGTACCAAGGGACATTATTCCAAACCACACACCTAGCCCACTGGCCTCAAGACTGGTTTAAGGTCTCCTTCTAGAGTCCTGCTCTTTCCATCTCCTAACAACACCTTTCTCCTCTTCCCCCTCCTCCTTCCTCCTTCTTCTTCCTCTTCAGTTAGTGCTATCTTAACCACACTGAACTTTCTAATTTGTAATTTTCTCAGGCCCTGTGTCTCCCCAGTTTGGTCCTGCTTCCAGGACTAGAGTTTCCTGAAGTGGATCCAACATGCACCTGCCTTAAGCCAGGTTGTGCCACCCAGCGGTAGCACGAAGAGGCTCCATGCCCTTCAACAGGCACATTCTCAGAGTCCATGTGGTTGCATGAAAGGTGTTAGACCCCTAGCTCTGGACTGAGAATATTCTCTCTTTAGAAAGCCATTTGTACTTGAGCACTTTTTAGAAATAATGTGAGATGCTTTGTGCAATTTAATCATTTGACAAATCACACAAGCGTTCTTCAAAGTAACAATTTCCATTCAATCTTCACACTTTACTAGCTCAAAATGAACAGCAGTTACGAAGGAGCACCTAATGAACACAGCAGTAACCCCAACATCCATGGGAAGGGAGTTAGATGAATAGACAGAGTCCACAGTCCTGATGCCAAGGAGTTAACCGCCAGATCTCATGGCTCAACCCATATTCACACCAGTTCTAGAGGAAAAATGTAAATAAGCATCAAAATGTTTCACAGAGTCTATCTCAATAAGGCAATTTATCTACTTAATTAACAAAGCTCATTACTGAGGTAAAGGAGATGTTATGCTTAATGATCAAGATAATCATATCAGTTTTCCACTTTGGTATAAGCTGGTTTTAAGGAGGCAAGGGAGTGGAGTTAAGGATTAAATGGTCACAGAGTGTAAACCATCACTTTGGTTTTTGGGCCAAAGAACTCTGCTTAGAACTTAAACCATTAACTTGAATTTACTTTATTTCACAAAGGAAACCAGAGGTGCTCCACTGGGTCCATTTGGATCAGGTGTAAACCAATATTTTACTGACAGATATCAACTCATATGCCCCCAGATCCCATCACAGAGTGATATAAGAGTCATCTGTGGTTGTCTTGGTCCTCGCTTTCTGTCAATTTGCAGGGAGCGCATACCACTTTTAAAGAATAAACAATGGGAATCATTGATGAAGCCCATGGTTACATGGCCAAGAATTAAGGAAGAATATACCACAGAAGAATCATTATATAGGTCCTGAAATCTCCAGTGGGCCTCATTCTGAGGTCTACCTGTCTTACTCTCTATTTTTAAAGCATAGAACTTGAGATCTTTCCATGCCAAATAATGTCACATGGTTGCCACCCTGAAATGAGAAGAAATCAAAACAACTCAGGACCCGGAAGCATGCTCTTAAATTTCAAAGCACAACCCTGAAGCACTAAATGGCTTTCTAAAAAGCAGTTATGACTTTCCCTTGACTCAAGGGAAAAGAATTTTTGATATAATAGCGGTAACAGTCAAAATCCTCTTAGCTCACTGTTCATAAGGCATTTTCACGTACACTGTCTCATGTGGGAAACTACTCCCACAACCAGGTGTTTGGGGACTTACCTATTTTTGCAAGAGATGCTAGAAGTATCCAGAGGGTGACCTCATAAGGAATTTGCACATAGTCATAATCCAGTACAAAAACAGGTATGTTCTCATCCGGCTCTGAGCTGGCAGCAGCAAACTGAACATTAGGTTCATGCCGGGTGGTGGAATTTGTGGATTCGTTCAGATCAGAAGATGCTTCAGAACACTCCAGGGCTACCAGCAATAGCAACAAATTCCAAGGACCGAAAGCCACAAACACCTGAAAACCCATGCTGTGGGCTCGTCCTACCCTGTGTGCCACTGTACGCCACACATCTGAAGTCAGCAGGGTTTCTAGAGAGCGGCGGCGTCCATCTGGGTCAAAGGTAGCATACGTACAGTCCGTGGGTCCTTCCAAGAAGAGTCCAAGTGTGCCACTGAGTTCCGAGTATAGATGCTTTCAAATCATAATTAGAGGATTTGTGTTCAGGCAGCTCAGCCTCTGGCTCAAATACAATCAATCATTGAATAGACTCGTCAAAGCCCGGGGATCTACCTGTGTGACCATCATCCACTCATGATGTGATGAGCAGTTTATGAAGGGGAAAATCTCTCTTCATTCAAAGCCGTTTCTTCGCTTCGCTGCACACTGGTTTCATCTCGTGAGTGACAATTGAAAAGGACTCCACGGTGCTCCTTCCAGATATCAGTGGAGTCCTTCTAACCAGGAAGGGAATCCTTCCCTCTCTACTGGATCCTGGGAAGGAGCTACTTGTCCCGCACCTGCTCCTCCTCTCCTCCCTGTGCTTGCTCGCTTGTTTTGAATGGTCAAGGCTGCAGGTAGCTCTTGAGCTACACTTAATTATTTCCTCTGATTTGGCTTTTGTGATGAAATGCTTTCCCTGAGTGTTCTCCGGAGGTTCCACTTCTGACACCTAGTGGGCAGCTGCAACACAACACCTTGGCACGTTTAATGATGAACAATTAAAGTGACTACTTAATTATCAACCCAATCAGGGCACTTCTGAGTAAAGACGAGCTATTAATAACTATGCCAGAGTTTGGAAGATGGCAGCAGTAGGAAGAGCCTCAGCAGCAGGATCCTGAATTCATCTCCTCCCCGAGATACGAAAAACCTATATCGATACCTGTGGAACAAATTCCTCTGAGAAAGCTGGAAACTGGATAAAAAGAACCTCCACAACAAGGACAACACAGAGAGGGGTGGAAGAGGCTGAGATGCAGCCCTACTGAGGAAAACACCACACCCTAGCCATGACGCTTCACAGTTGGGAGCAACGTCAAAGGAACAGAGCTTTTCCCAGAGAAGCAGGAGATTTGAGCCCCACACTAGGCACCCAGCCCTTGGATTCAGCGCAAGAACGACAAGATTCCAAAATACTTGACTTTCAAAACCAACAGGGAATATGCCCAGGAAAACTATACAACTTTAGGAAAAGGAAAACCTTCTCTTAAAGGGCCCATCACAGACTCACTCAACCTGGAAACCAGCACAAAAACATGAGATAGAAAAGTGCATAGTCCATTGGTAAAAGAGACTTGCTAAGCTCAGAGCTCATTCCAGAGAGGCAAGAGGCAGCTGGGCCCATCAGCGACAGACTGGGACTCTGGCAGCAGCCATTCTTGTGACCTAATTGAGCTGTGCTGCCACAGACCCTGGCAGGTGTCATTAGAATTCTTCTTCTAGCCTGTTAGCACACAGGTCTGCTGCACCTACTAGAGCACCCAAGGCAATTGCGTGCAGCCAGCCTGCCCCAAGGACCAGCCCCAGCCACCAGGAAGCCTGCAGGAAACTTGTACCACTAGGCTCACAAACAGCTACACAGGATCTCCCCTGCCCATTGATGCCTGAAATGGTTGCACACTGCTGCACTGCTGTGCTTGGGGCCTGCCCCACCCATCAGTAAAAGTGAGGCAGCTGAGCACTGCAGGACCACATAGCCAGTCTACACCAGAGGCCTGCCCCACCCCAAAGCAAGCTTGCCACAGCTGTGTGCCTGTAGCTAGCCTCAGCAGAAGCCTGCCCTGCCCACCAATGCATCCAAGGCAGCCAAGTACTGTAGGGCCATGTAGCCAGCCACACGGGGGGCCTGCAGCAGTTGTGCACCCCCAGGCCTACCAACCAGCCACAATGGGGGCCTAACTCACTTACCAGAAAAACTGCAGTAGTTGTGCACTACCAGATTTTGCAGCCAGCTCTGCCAGGGTCTTGCCCCACCCAATAATGTGCCTGTAGCAGCCACATGTGGCTGGGTCCCATGACTAGCTGGCCTAGTGGCCAGCCAAGCCTACATGCATGCCTGAAGCAATAGTACCCTGCCACAATAGAAAGGTACTTGCAGCCCACACAAGGGACACCCCTGGAGCATTTGACATGGGTGACAAGAGGGAGCACACTGCTGGTCCTCATAGGACATCTCCTAGATAAAGCCACATTTCCAAGATCAGGAAACATAGCTGATCTACCTAATACATAAAAATAAGCACAGAGAAGTAGGCAAAATGAGGACACAAAGGAATATGTTCCAAATAAAAGAACAGGACAAATCCTCAGAAAAAGTACTAAATGAAACAGAGATAAACAATATACCTGATAAAGAGTATAAACTAATGGCCATTAGGATGCTCACTGAACTGGGGAGAAGAATAGATAACACAATGAGAACTTCAACAAAGAGTTAGAAAATATAAAAAAAAAATCATAGCTGAAAAATACAATAATGGGAATGAAAAATTCAGTAGAGGGAATATACAGCAGAGTAGGTGACAGAGAAGAATGGATAAGCAATCTGGGCAAAATCACTCAAGCTGAACAGAAAAAAGAGAAAAGAATTAAAAAGAACGAGGACTCTAGGGGATCTCTGGGACAACATCACGTATGCTAACATTCACATTATAGGTGTCAGAGAAGGAGAGGAGAGAGATAAAGAGGCAGAGAACTTATTTGAGGAAATAATAGCTGAAAACTTCCCTAACTTGGGGAAGGAAACAGAAATCTAGGTACAGGACTCACAGAGAGCACCAAACAAGACAAACCCAAAGAGGTCCACACCAGGACTCATTATAATTAGTGTCAAGAATTAAAGACAAGGAGAGAATCCTAAAAGGTACAAGAGAAAAGCAACATACAAAGGAAACTCCATGAGCCTATCAACTGACTTCTCAGCATAAACCTTACAGGCAAGAAGGAAGTGCCACAATATATTCAAAGTACTGAAGGGAAAAAAAATACAGCCAAGAATACTCTACCTGTCAAGGTTATCATTCAGAATGGAAGGAGAGGTAAAGAGTCTTCCAGACAAGCAAAAACTATAAGAGTTCATCACCATTAAACTGGTCTTACAAGAAATGTTAAAGGGTCTTATTTAAGAGGAAAAGAAAAGGCCACAAACAGGAATAAGAAAATTATCAAAGAAAAACTATCACTGGTAAAGGCAAATATACAGTAAAGGTTGTGGATCAACCACCTATAAAGTTAGTATGAAGGTCAAAAGACAAAAGTACTGAAATCACCTATATCTACGATAAGAAGTTAAGGGATACACAAAAATAAAAGAGGTAAAATATGATATCAAAAACCTAAAACATGGTGGGGGAGAGTAAAAGTGTAAGGCTTTTAGGAAGAGGTTGAACTTAAGAGACCATCAACTTAATACAGATTGCTATTTACATAGGTTATTATACATGAACTTCATATATAATAACAAACCAAAAACCTATAATAAATACGCAAAAAGTAAAGAGAAAGGAACCCAAACGTAACATTAAAGAAAGCCATCAAATCACAAGGCAAGAGAGCCAGAGAAAAAGAAAGGGACAGAGAACTACAAAAATATCCAGAAAAAAGGTAACAAATGGCAATAAGTGTATACTTTTTGATAGTTACTTTAAATGTAAATGGACTAAATAGTTAATCAAAAGACATAGGGTGGCTAAATGGATTAAAAAAATAGGACCCATATACCATGTATATGCTGCCTAGAGGAGAAACACTTCATACCTAAAGACGTTCACAAACTGAAAGTCAAAGGATGGAAAATATATTCCATGCAAATGAAAATGACAAGAAAGCTGAGGTAGCAATACTTATATCAGACAAAATGGACTTTAAAACAAAAACTGAAACAAAAGACAAAGAAGGGCATTGCATCATGATAAATGGGAAAAGCTAAAAAAGGATATAACACTTGTAAATAACTATGCACCCAACATAAGAGCATCTAAATACATAAAATAAATATGAACAGACAGAAAAGGAGAAATTGACAATAACACAATAATAATAGGGGACTTTAACATTCCACTTACATCAATGGATAGATCATCCAGATAGAAGATCGATAAGAAATCATTAGCCTTAAATGATACATTAGACATTAGATGGATTTAACAGATATATACAGAACATTCCACCCAAAAGCTGCAGAATACACATACTTTTTGAATGCACATACAACATTCTCCAGGTTATATCACATATTAGGTCACAAAACAAGTCTCAATAAATTCAAAAATATTGAAATAATAGCAAACATCTTTTCTGACCACAACAGTATGAAACTAGATATCAACTACAAGAATAAAACTAGAGGGGCTGGCCCTTTGGCTGAGTGGTTAAAGTTCCACGCACTCCACTTTGGTGGCCCAGATTCACAGGTTCAGATCACAATCATGGACATACTCCATTCATCAGCCATGTTGTGGGGGCATCACACATACAAAATAGAGGAAGACTGGCATGGATGTTAGCCCAGGGCTAATATTGCTCAAGAAAAAAAAGAGAGGAAGACTGGCAACAGATGTTAGTTTGGGGCAAATCTTCCTCACTAAAAAAAAAGAATAAAACTGGAAAAGTCACAAATATGTGAAGATTAAGCAAAATGCTGCTGAACAATTATTGAGTCAATGAAGAAATAAAAGGTAAAATCAAAGGTAAAATAAAAAAATACCTGGAGACAACTCAAAATGAAAATACCACATACCCAAATCTATGGGATACAGCAAAAGTGGTACTAAGAGGCAAGTTTTATAGCAATACAAGCCTACCTCAAAAAACAAGAAAAATCTTAAAGAAACAATCTAACGTTACACCTAAAGAAACTAGAAAAAAAAGAGCAAATCCGAAAATCAGTAGAAGAAAAGATATAATAAAAATTAGAACAAAAATAAATGAAATAGAGACTAAAAAGACGGTAGAAAAGATCAGCAAAACTAAGGGCTGGTTCTTCGAAAATATAAACAAAGTTGACAAACCTTTAGCTAGACTCACTAAGAAAAAGAGAGAAGGCTCAAATAAATAAAATCAAAAATGAAAGGGAGAAATTAAAACGGACACCTAAGAAATACAAAGGATTACAAGAGACTACTATGAAAAGCTATATGCCAACAAATTTGATAATCTAGAAGAAATAAAGTCAGCATTTTACAACCTTCCAAAACTGAATCATTAAAAAATAGAGAATCTGAATATACTGATCACTAGTGAGGAGATTGAAACACTAATCAAAAACCTCCCAAAAAACAAGAGTGCAGGACCAGATCACTTCCTCAATGAACTCTACCAAACATTCAAAGAAGATTTAATACCTATCCCCAAACTTTGCCAAAAAATTGAAGAGGAAGGGACACTTCCTAACACATTCTGCAAGGCCAACATTACTCTGATACCAAAACCAGACAAGGACAAGACAAAAAAGGAAAATCATAGGCCACTGTCACTGAAGAACATAAACGGAAAAATCCTCAACAAAATGTTAGCAAATCAAATACAGCAATACATTAAAAGGATAGTATTCCATGATCAAGTGGGATTTATTCCAGGGATGCAAGGATGGTTCAATATCTGCAAATCAATCAACATGATATACCAC